TAACTTATAATTATAAAGCTTGAATAATTCTTATAATATATTAAATATAATAGTAAATCGACTAGTAATTAAATAATTAAAAACGGATATTTCTTTAATAAAAATATTTATAAAAAACCCAAATTTAATTCTATAAATAATTATTTTATTATATTAAGGCTTAATAAATATCTTAAGCTTTATAAAAGCAAATATAAGAAATAGTAATATTAAATTAATAACTTTTAAAAAATCAAAATAATAATAAATAAAATCTTAATTTTTATAAATAATTAATTACTAGATTATATAATAACTTATTTTTATTTCTTATTTTTAATGGTATAAATTAAGCTTTAATATTACTAATATCTCGAATCTTTATATATAATAAGGCAATTATATAATTATTAAATCTAATAATTCTATTTCAAATATTTTAGAAAATATATTAATTAATTAATTATATATAAGTATTATATTAAATATAAATAAAATTTACTAATATTTTACTAAATATTTTAAGTAATAAAGAGAAAAAGATACTAAGAAAAATAAGTATTTAATAAAGATTATTTAAGCTATAATTATTTATTTTTAAAATAAATATTAAATATTATTAAATAACTAGCTAGCTATAACAGAAATCCTTAATTATATTCTTATAATAAAAATAAAGGCTAGAATTCTAATTCTAATATTCTATAAGAAAGTAGTAAATAATTCTATATATAAAAAGTTCTAGAAATAAATAATATTAAATAAAATAATTTAGCTATTAAAAAGTAATTCTTAAAAGGAAATTCTTTATCTAAAAAAGCAATTTTAATTAATTATAAATGAGTTTTTAATATTAATTTTTTTTTAATAAAAATAAAAATAATATAAAATAAGACTAATTATATAAGAATTTATATAAATTAAAAATAAAAACCATAATTAGATATTTGCTCTAATAATAAGAAAAAATATCTTTTAACTTTTTCTAATAATAATTACTAAAAAGAACCTAAAGTATTACTAGTTTAATATTAAAAATATATTTATAAAATTATATTTAAAAAAAAAGTTTATTTAAACCTTTTTTAAAATATAAATATTAAAAATAGATTTATACCTGAAATACTATAAAGCTTATATAAACTAAAGCAAGTTATTTAAAACTAGAACTAACTAATTTATTAAAAAAATAAAGAATTAGAGTTTTATATAAAGCTTAACTAATTTATATTTATATATATATATAAATTGAGGTATTAAGCTTTCTATTTATTAATAATATTATTACTATTATAAAAAATAATTAAATATAAACTAGTTTTTTACTTAATTATTTAATAAGTTTAAGGCCAAGCTTTTAAAAGAAATCTCTAAGATTCTAGGCTATAAAGTTATTAAAAACAGAAAAAACTATATTATTTACTTTAATTAAAAATAATATTTAGTAATAATTCTTAATTATTTTGGAATTATATAAGAATTTTATAAAAAGAAATCTATTTTAATATTTAATTATAAGTTATTATAAATAACTATTTTAGAAAATTAGAAAATTAATATTATAAAATACTAGTTAAATATTAAATATCTTATATTTATAATAGTACTAACTTATTAAATATTATATTTATATTTAGTAAATTAATATAATTTAGAAGTAATCTAGTTAAATATTATAAATATATATTTAAAAATGTAATAAAATATCTTTAATTTATATTAAACTAAAATATTTATTCTAATTTTAGAAAAGAATTTAAATATTTTACTCTTTATTTTAATACTAATTCGACTAATAATAAATCTAATTAGAAAAGTATTAGAGAATATATTATAATATTTTATAAAGAACTAATTTTATAATAAATTAAAAAGTAATATTTAGTAATTATTTTAAGCTATAAATTAGAATATATAATACTTGTTATATATATAAAATAAAAGTAATAAATTATATAGACTTTCAGGAATTTAGGCTAATTATAATATATTATAGATAATAAAATTAAAGTTTATATACTAAGAAATAATTAGAAAATAATTACTTTAGCTAAAAACCTTTATTTTTATAATTATTTATTATTTTATTTGAAATATAATAAAAATATAAAAGGCCTAAATAACTACTAATAAAATAATAAAATTATTATTTAGAATAGCCTTTAAAATATTTAAAAAAAAATATTAGAAATAACCGGAAATAGAAAAGCTAAAGAAATAAAAATATAAGACTAATATATTTAAAAAAATATATTCTAAAAAGAAATATTAAGCAAACTAGTTATATAATATTATATATAAATAGAGTACTATTATATAAGCTAGTAAGATTATAGCTTTATAAAAGTCTAAGATTTCTTTTTCTTTAATTAATATAATTAAATCTTCTTTTCTATTTTTGCTTTTAATATATTATTTTCTTATTAAATTATATTAAACTAAAAAATATATTCTTAATACATGTAATATATATTAGAAATAAAATAAAAAACTAAACTTGGCCTTATATATAAAATAAAATAGTAAATATTTAAATAAAAGCTTTTAAAAAAAATTTCTCATATATTTATATAATAGTTCTTATTACGTCACGTGCTCCGCACCTAATTAGGACTAGAGCGGCTCGCTAAGCTATGTATATATATATATTTTATACTTAAGCTTAGTTCTTTTCTTAAGAAACCTCTTCTTTTTTCTTTATCTTAGAATTCTTAATAAATAATTCTCTTATAAGTATTCTATTTATAAACTCTCTTTACAGGTTCGTAATAATTTATATCTTATATTAATATAAGCTTATAAGTATAATATAATTATATATAATAAAGAAAAAGTTTTATAAATAAGAAATAATTTAATAAGTAAAATAAGGCTTAAAAAAAACTTATAAAAGAAAAAGAAAAAGCTTTAATAATTTATAAAAAGCTTTATAAATTAAAATTAGTCCTTAAAAATATAAAAGAAAAAAGAAAGCTTTATAATTATAATTAAAAAAAAGTATTTTATATTTAAAAAAAGAATTAATATAGATTTATTAATCTTAAATTAAGATTAATACAAAATTAGAAGCTAATTCTAAAGCTTATATAAGGCTATTAGGTTTCAATTTTAATAAAATAACTTTAATTTTATTACTTTAAATAAATTTGAAATTCTAGTAATTTTAAGTAATTTTAAATAATTCAATAATTAAATAATAAGGAAAATTCTAAGCTTAATAATTATATTTTCTTAAATTATTATTATTATCTTTTTTATAAATTCTTATATTTTCTTTTATTAAATATATTAATTTAAGATTATAAGTTATTAAATTATTTTAAAGCTAATAAAAGTACTTTAAATATATATTTTATAAAAGAATTTCTTATTAATATATTTTAATTATAATAACTAATATTATATATTTTATTTTAGTTAAACTTTTAGATAAAATATTAAAAATAAGATTTAAATTAAACTTAATATTTTAAGAATTTTAATTATATTTATTTATTATTAAATTCTTTCTTTATTTTTACTATAATATTTATTAGTAAATTCTTATAAGTTCTTATAGTATATTATTAAAAATAATATTATTTCTTTCTAAATAAATAGGAATTAATTAATATAATAATTTTGGTTTTTATTTCTAAAAATAAGCTAAATAATTTAATATTATAAAAGTAAATAAGAAAAATAATTATAAAAAGAATTTAAGTTAAAATATATATTAGCTTATAAACTTTTTTTTTAATTTTTTATTAAAAACAATTTTATAATTATAATTAGATATATATATTTATAATAAATAATATAGTTTTTTTTAATTTAATTAGTAATATAATATGAGTTTAATTATGGTATATATTATATTAATATTATTATTAATTTTCGAGGCTTTAAATTATATTTCTTTAGGCAATATATTACTTTTATATAAGATAAAAAAAAGATATAAAATAATTTTAATATATTAAAAGATTTATATATTTTTATAAAATTAAATATTGAATTTATATCTTTAATAGCTTTAAAGCTAATTTAATATTTAATTAGTTTATAATCTTTTAAAGGCTTAATAAAAATTATTAAAAAACCTTAATTCAAAAAGAAGTTTAATAAAATATATAATAAATATTATTAAAGCTATTAGTATTTATAATTATTTAAAAATAATAATTTTAATATAAAAGATATAATATTACTTTATTTATTAAAGGTTTTAAAAGATTTAAGAGATTTATTTAAGAATTATTATTATAATTATTATTTTATATATTTTAAGTATTAATAAATACTTTATTTGTTTTTAAATTTAATATTAAAAGACTAATACTAGAATTATTTTATAATAATATTTTTCTTTAATAAAAGTTATTTAAAGCCTTATTTTAATTAAGCTAAAACTTTATTAAAAAGCGTTTAAAAGTTTAAAGCCCCTAAAAAATACTATTACTAATAATTATATATTATAAAAATAGCGGTTTTACTTAAATATATAAATCAAATTAAGCTAAAATATTAGCTTTAATTTAATTAGTATTATTATTTAAGCAATTAAAGTTAGAGTTTAATATAAGAAATAATAATATATTATTATTTAATTTTTGATATTTTCTTTAAAATTTAAGTTATAAATATTTTAATTAAATATAATATTATTTTAAAAGCTATTTTATATAATTAAATTCTTTTATAAATATAAATCTATTTTAAAGAAAATAAAAGTTAAAGACTTTTGCCTTTAATTAAGCTTTTATAAAACAGTTTTTATAGAAATAAGAAATATATTAGCTTTGAATTTAATTAATTTAAAAAAATACTTATAAAAGAAGGCTTTATATTAAAAGGCATAATAATAACAAACTTTAATAATAAAGAGAATGAGATTAACTCTTGCCGGGTGTTACAAGGCTATAAGGTATTTAAGAATAGAGCGATTGAGAATTTTATTTAATATAAGACTAATAACAAATTAGTCGACTTGTTGCAGGCCGACAGCACTAATTAGTAGAGAATGCATAGTTGCTATAAATGGACTTTATTCATTGAGAAAAGATAAAGCGCTATATGCTAGAATGAAGAATTTAATTAGAGATCCTAACCAGCTATCATGAATAACTAACATTCTTTCTCCTTCCTAGAATATAGCAGTCGCATTCAAAAAACTCGCAATACCACCTATCGTCCTAAACGGCGCACTTGTGAAAAAGAACGTCCACCTCCCCTCCCTCCTCGCGACCTCACTCACCCTTTCCAGATCTACCATCTCCCCAATTGGTATCCCCCACAATGCCAACAAATACTCATGCAACATCCACTTTTCCTCCGTCGGCCACCGCTCAAAACCAGGCGCATCGCCCGCGACAGCCGCAAAGTAGCAGTCATGCAACCAATCCACCATCTTTTCTTCCTGCTTCACGCCGGCGAACGTAGTCTCCTCAATGCTGCGTAATGCGAGAGCACGATTCTCATCCTCGCTGCGGTGGTAGTAGTCATGCACCCAGCCGGAGCGGATGAATAGAATATCTCCAACCTGGCTATCGCCGCCCTGGCTCGCCGGTCGAATATCAATGCCCTGCCACTTCCCGCACGCCTCAAGCTCGCCATAGGAGATCGAATGTCTAGACGCGCTGTCGTATCTCAGGCCAAGACTATCGGCGTAACTCCGATAATCAAGCAAGATGCCCCTTCCCGTGATCCCTCCAATCTGGTCTCGCCAGTGATGGATACTTCCTTTGCCAAGGTCAGCGACATCTGATCCTGCGAAATCCTCCGCTGTTACTCCGTTGTAGAACTTGCGGCTTCCTTTGTGGGCGACGTGTCGGAAACCGTCCCATTGCGTGCTGGACTGGGTGTTTAGGGCGTAGATGTCGTCGTAGGCGAGACCGGGCGCGAGGGTCTTGATTTCGTGCTTGAAAGGGAGGCGGCCCGCGGCCGGTGTCGCGGGGATGCTAGTGGGTAGGTCCATCGGGATCAACTCTCCTGTCTTGATGTAGGTGCTGGCGGCTCTGATGCGGTTGGGCGTCAGGAGGTTAAGGCGGCCACAGCAGTCGTCCTATACCAGGGATCAGTTTACTTCTTCGTCTGGCAGCATTCAGGAATCAATTTGCCTTTCCCCAGACCCAGGCGGCGTCTTCGGGTGCATCAGGAAGTCGAAGCAGGTCCTTTCTCGATGGGAAGGATGTGTTGTTTGGATCCCAAGGGATTGAATTGGCATCTTGAGTTCCGACTGGCATCGTAGTCTTGAGTCCAGTATGGCTACTCGATAAATCTAAGAAGGGAATTGTCTTCGAGTCCAGCATGCTTAGACAATACAACAACACTTATATATTTGGCTTAGACCCCGAGACATTTGGATCAGCCGGTGCGCCACGGTTGGTGCCTTAAACTGTTCACTATTCCTTTCAGAGTGTGGTAGGGATTTTACCTTTGGTCACGTGGCTTATTCATGTGACCTCCGTGTTGGAACTGAGTGTACGCTGGTACACTGTAGTTTATATACCAGATGTATATATAGAGTGCTTACCCCGCGTAAGCTGAAAAATCAAGTCGACAACCTCCAAAACATTGCAACACTCCGGACGTCCGTACAGTCCGCAGTCCGCTCCACATTACCCCTCTCTCCTCCTCAGTTCTTAGAAATCAACCAACCTTCACTCACTAATTCCACATCTCACTCGTATGCTGTGATCCCTCGCTGTGGAAACCCATTCAATTCTCTATATATTACTGCTTGTTTTATATCCACGTCACAATAGTATCTATTGAGAGCAGATTAACTGCTATCGAGTTGTATTTGGTCCCTGGTTTCGGGATTTGACAAAAACTGAGTCACATTAAAGTTCCCTTTCTAGAATATTTTGAGAGAGAGCTGCCTGATTACTGCTACTTGTAAAAACATCAGATTTTTACGCTAAAAATCTGATGTTTTTACAAGTAGCTATAGTTGATCCAGTCCCGCTCACCACCCTTGCCCCTTTTACATTTGTAATCGACTGTACTTTACAAATCATACCGTGCCTTAGCACTACCTTGTGTTCTTGTAGATTTCTAAGCAGACTTCAGCTATTGACATGGTCTTCATTCGTCTTTCGAGAGGCTTAATCATTACGACAACTTACGTATCACTAGAGCGTCTACTGAGGCCATTAGCAGGCTAGTCGATAAAACCGAGAAGCGAAAAGTGATTTTCTGATCTTTTGATTTTCGCGCCCGTACACCCCCCCCCCCAAATCTCACTAAAAAAAAAAAGTACAGTATACACGCCTTATTCTCGACTACTCCTAGCCCTCCCTTAGCTTGCGTGGTCCGTAAGGCAAATCCCATGGATTACAAGATATATCTCCCTTATTTTCTATATTCTTTATACTATCTATATTACTCGAATTATTTATATTTTCTTTATTTTCTTTATTTTCTTTATTTCTAGTATTTTTACTCTCCTCCTCTACTATAACCTCCTTTCCCTTTGCCTTCTAATTTTATATCTTATAAATAATTACGGCTTTAATATAAAGGGTTTTATAAATACAAAGCAAGGCTTTTTAGACTTAATAAAATTAGTATTAAATTAATAAAAAATATAGATTTTATTATTATTATATTTATAATTTATATAAGTACTATTAAATTTGCCTTTTATAATTATATAATATTTAAAAGAGCTTCTTAATCTCATTTTATTATTATAAATAGTATAAGCCTAAAAGAATTCGGTTTTATAAATATATATTAAGCTTCCTTCTAGATTTGCCTTATTTTTCTCTAATTTCTTTAGCTTCTTACTCTAATATAGCTTTATTTCTCTAATTTTAGCCGTATTATTAATTTGCTTTATTACTTTAGTAATATTATTAAGTAATATAAGGAGATTAAAATATTATTATAAAGAATAAAAATTAAAAAATTAAAAATAAAAATTAAAAAATTAAAAATTAAAAAAATTAAAAAATTAAAAAATAAAGAAATTTATTAATTAAATTTATTAATAAAAAAGAATATTATAAACTAAGTCTAAATTATTAAAAGATATATTATTATTAGTATAGCTATTTCTTTAGGAGTCACGTATATAGTTACGGGATACGAGATATAGGATATAGGCAATGAAATATAAGTAACGGGATATGAGATACGAGTTATAGTTATATAACCTCGCGTTCTATTAGTAACTCGATTAGTAGACTAGATCTCTTTAGGCTTAGTAGATTTAGGAATTACATATTAATACTATAATACTATAATTCTTATTTCTGAATAATAACTTTACTAATTATATATAAATAGTATTCTATAACTTATATAACGGTACCATATATTACTAGTAAACTAATACTAATTAGTTTATATATATAGATTAGAAACAGAATAGTTATACTAAAAGAGGCATCTAATAGCCCTTAGTAATATTAATCTAACTATATTAAAGAGGGAAATTACTTATTAAACTTTACAAAAAAGCATCCGGTAGCCTAAGGAAAAAGACCCTAGTTCTTGCTAATTAATAAGCGGTTAGCTATTTGATTATCTATTTATTTAACTTTTATTATTCTTTAAAACTAACTTCTTTTAGTCCCAAGACTACTTTCTTGGAAATTATCTTTTCTACTTATATAATACCCGTATCTACGGGATACTCTTTCCAGAATATATATCCTATATATGCCCTTAAAGCTCTTTAACTACTACTTCGATTTTACTATTAAATCAAGTTCTTTAAGCTTTAGATCCTCCCGGAATTATAATATTTCACTTCCTAAATTTCTTATTATAGATAAAATATTTAAAAGCAAAATATTTACTTTAATACCTATAATATCTCTAGATATCTAGGGTATCTAATATCTGGACCAGATATCTGATATCTAAACTAGGTATCTAGTATCTAAACTAGATATCTGGTATCTAAATCAGGTATCTAGATATCTTTATTACTAAACCCTTTTTATAAACCTATTACGAATTACTTTATTCTTAAACTTCTCTTACTATAAACTATATATATATATCGGGAAAGGCTTAGCCCTAAGGATTTGGGATAGTAAATCTTTAGGATAAATACAAATAGATAAAGAAATAGAAGAATAGTATTAACCTGGCTAGTTCTAATAATAAGAAAATCCTGAATTACCTTAATACTAGATTATTTTAGTATAAGGTAAAAAAATTAACTAATAAGGATCTTTAGGAATTATTTAAAAAGGATTTTAGTAACTTTAATCTTGAGATATTTAATTAACTAGATTAATACATATTATACTAATTACGAGCTATTTTATAATATAATAATATTTATATTAAATATAACTATAGTTACTTTATTATTATATAGTTCCTAGTTAATATTATTTAGAGAAAAAAGTAATATATCTAAACTACTAATAGTATTATTATTACTACTAGATAAGACCTTAAAACGGGCCCTATTACCTTATTATATATATTCCTAAATAATTATATTATAAGAAATTAATATATTAAACTAATTATTACTTATATTTTTTTATTACCTATTACCTCTTTATTATTTATAACTACTTCTGCTAGTACCGGATTATAGAGAGCTAAAGCTAATGATTTCCTATTACCTTTATTACCTTTAAATGGCTCTCTAGCTAGCTCTCTTATTATAAAGCTAATTAGAGAAATAGTAAAGATATATATCGAGATATAGAAATATAATAGAACTAATAGTAGTTTTAACTAAAAACTCGCTATTTTCCTTAATATTTACTAATATATAGAGCTTCTAGAAAAGGTATTAGTAAGAGCTTTTTCTACTATATTAAAGGGACTAGTATAAGACTACTTCTATAATAACTAGCTCTCTTAATATATATATAAAGAAGCCTATATAAATATTTATAGTTTCTTTAAAGGCCCCGGTTACTATTATTAAAATTTAGATAAATAAAATACTATTACCTTAGTAATTATAATAGTAAAAGACCCTAAAAAGACAATATTTGAGCTTATTTAAATACTAATTAATAACCTATATAAATTATAATATAGCCTTATTCCTGTCTTATAAATTACTAAATTCCTATATAATAAGATTATTACTTCCTATTAAGGCTTATTAGTATACTAATATATAGTTTTAGACTCTTCTAATAATCTCGGCTAGCTTATTAATAAGCTCTAATTATCTATTACTACTTATAAAAAGAAATAATAGATTAATACCCAGATTCTCTTTACTAATTAAAAATATTATTCTTAAAACTCTCTAAACTACTATTTATCCGGAAATTACTAATATAGACCTAGCTATAACTTCAGAACCCGTAATAATTATTTTAAGTCCTATAATTATAATAATTATATTCTAAAGTCGTGTTTTATATATAAGAAACCCAAATACTATTTATAAAAGCATATATTAGAAAAATAAAAGGCTAAAAAGGCTTAATTTAAGAATAGAAATATTTACTAATTTAGATCCCGAAATATCTATAACTTTAATAAATACTTTAGTAGTACTTATATATAGTATATTACTAAATTCAAAAGAGAAGAGAATAATAAAAGTAATAAGAATAAACTAGTAAGTAATACTTTTAAAGCCTTACTAATAGAAATAAATAAAGAAAAGAAATATTATTCTAGTTCCTACTATATTTCTATTAAAAGCTTCCTAGCTACTCCTATAGCCCTTATTCCTACTATTTCTATAACTAATACCCTTATAAATAACTTTATTTCTCTTTCTCTTATATACTAGATAATAGGCGAAAACCATATCCTAGAGCTTACTAAATAAATAAAGAATACCTAAATATTTATAATTAATAATATATTAAGATATAATACTTACTATTTTTATAGAGTTATAATTAATACCAGAGCTTCTAAATTCTTAACTACTAGTTCTAACTAATTCCAAGCTTTATAGCAGACTAATAATAGTATTAAACTTAATAAAACTACTAAAAATTAAGTTAATATCTAGTTTAGTATTAGATCTATATCCTTTATTAGATCTATAATAGTAAGAATACTCATTAAGTAAGTATAATTCTATATTATACCTATAAAAACTTTATTTCTACTTAGCTTAGCTAATATAAATAAGCTAGGGGTTTATTTTAATAATCTTACTAATTATCTTATTATTTCTAATAAATGCTTTATACTTATAGTATAATATTTTAAATATTTTTTCTTGCTTTAGAATACTGCTTTATAAAGCTTTATTTCCGAATTCTTTATTTATAATTCTTGCTTTCTTATAGAGGTTAAATTATAATATTTATATTACTATTTTAGTTATTTATTTATTAATAAGTTCCGGAATATACTAGAATAAGCAGGCTATAATATTAATATAAAAACCCTTAAGTATCTTATAAAATACTATAAGTAATACCAGAAATTCGAATAATTACTAGAATAATTCAAGTTTAACCTAAGAAATAATATTAG